AAAGTATTTAGTGCATGTTGTACCCAGGTCAAAACTCCTACGTATTTCCATTAGAAGAGCGCATTGGAATGTGACGACTATCGCCCTTTCACAGTTTGCCAAATATCACAAAGCTAGTATACACCAAAATCATTAATGGGTTTCATGTGAATACGGAAAAGATGGAACTTTGCACATTTCAATTTGAACATTTTCAATTTTAACAAATAAAATTATACATATTCAAATACAGAACTATAAACAGATAGAGGTCAAAACTTCCCCGGTTATCAAGCGGTCATCACCCCAAGTCTGTGATACTTTGTTAGTGAGGTTGATAGAGACAAGTTAGCTTGGCGAATTTATAAAATAAGACAATCTTTGCCTGTTTACTGACTCCTTGTTCATGGCTACATCAACATCAATGATTACTGTACCTCCTGAATCAAAGAAATCAATCTACAAACATATCACTAGTACAGCCATGATACCCAGATTACACGACCTCATAATTATGAAAACAATTATCTTTATGACGCACTCGCTTAGACCATCTGTATTCTAAAAACATTTATTAATGAGTCATATGTATATCTGACGTAAACCATCGTTTTTATAATAAAATACCTGTAACTATATAACAACTAATTTTTTCATGATTATATTGTTCGTCAGAATTAAAATTGTATGAGTTCAATTCAAGCCAGTATTAAGAGTTGACACCCAGACATAATGGACTATTACGAATAATGATCCAGGTCTCTACTCCACGAACCGTTTAATGCTTTCTGAGAGTAGTCATGAACGGAGTTAACAAAACCAGCAATAATTATCGCAGTTATTAAATCAATAATTTAAATCAATTTGGGTCGGTCATGGTTCAAACTCATTGTCAGTTCAAGGGCTGTTTCAATTTAACATTCATTCATAATAGTTCATACTTGTAAGGTGACAACGTACAATAAATAATGACGAAATACAACCATAGTTTGTGTGGAAATACGTTCCGATTCTAAAAACACGGTTACACTGAATGATGTCGTATGTTATTCCGTGCAACATACAAGTCTCGACAAATAGTGACCATGTATTTGCGAGTAAATATCTGTCGTTTAATTAATATCTACCATGATGACAAGTTGTTAAATTGAGTGCATCCCAGTTTCAATCACACGGCCATATTGCAACAAAGTGCGTGACCTTTGGGTTACCCGACAGACTATATATATACACGTACCAATTCGTACCACAGGGAGCCCAGGAACTATAATCAACTGTAATACACAGTCTCTATGAGCGGGGGGGGGGGTATCGGCTGGTATCTAGTGTAAGAAATAGACAAGGGATGAAGGCTCCAGCCAGCTCACATTTTTTAAACTCGAAAAAACAGACGAAAAAAATAAAAAATAAAATCTAAAAAAAATACCAGGTTGAAGAATATTAGTTGCTCCTTCGAATTTCGCCAAAGCCTTACCTATATTTTACCGATATCTGCAGAATAAATCAAGAAAACTACACAAATTGACTCCATTTAGAAATGCCTAACGGTTAGTCCGAACGCATGACACCGTTGGAGGCGTGGCCTGTT